CACCATCGTCATCATCATCACCATCACCATCACCATCACCATCACCATTACCATCACCATCACCATCACCACCATCATCGTCATCATCATCATCATCATCATCATCATCACCATCACCACTATCACCATCATCACCATCATCATCACCATCACCATCATCACCATCATTATCATCATCACCATCATCACCATCAGCATCATCAACATCATCATAACCATCACTATCGCCATCATCATCATCATCATCATCACCATCATCACCATCATCATCATCATCGTCATCATCATAACCATCACCATCGCAATCGTCATCGTCATCACCATCGCCATCACCACCGTCATGACCAATATCAACTTCTACTCTTCTTCTTCATCATCACCATCATCGCCATCATCACCACCATCCTCACCATCATCATCACTGGCACCCTCCTCCTCCTCCTCCTCCTCCACCTGCTCTTGTTATCATCATCGTCATAATTTGTGCATCTTCTTGATGTGCACTTTTCAAGAGCCTTCAGAAGCATCACGCCAGCGGCAACAGAAGTCTCTCGGGTGATCCTGCTTAGTTTCGAGTTCGCCATGAGACTATCAGTGCATATTCTGCATGTTCTGATTTCAAGTTGGCTGTGTACTTGAGCCTTGAAGCTTTGCAGCCGCCCCCGTAAGGCTCTGCAAGCACTGAGAGAGCTGCCGACATCAGACCTGCTGGACGGTCAGGGTGTGGTGAAGTCATGGACTTGAGGTCCAGGTTAAGCCGGTTAAGCAAGGTTGGCCTTCGGGCGGAGGACGAAGGGCGTCAGTGAGGCTAAGGAGCTCGAGGTTACGTTACATTCGTCCTTAGCCGGTCTTTTGCAAGAGCTGGTCTTCTGTGCTAAAGGCTTCCGAGATGGAACATTCGGGCCTGAAGGGCTTCCGTCTGGGCGCCAACTTGGGACCTCCTGACGCATGCCTCCAGACTCTAGTTTGAAAGGACCTGCCAGAGGAGAATAGAGACGGCAGCGTGACTGTTTGAATGGGTTTCCTTTGCGCAACCTCATATGTGAGGAGCGACGTCCCAAATGCTATGAGCTTTGAGTTTGCAAATGTCTAGGATCACCTGTGGGACACCTGGACTCAAGCCAACAGAAAGTTCGACGATCGCTTCAACGCCTGGTTTGACAGGACAGATTTCTGGGGTCGTTGCGACTGCATGCTCGCTTTAGATGTATCTGAGGAATGCCCTGTGGACAGCGATCGTGCTAGCGTAATGCTTGTGGTGTGCTAAATCTACTTAACCGCAAATCCGTGCAGATTGAACCCCCCGACAGCCGTCATAAGATCGGGAGGGGAGGTGCGCAACCAGTGTTCCACCCGACCCTTTATCCAAGGATGCTTCTGGCCATGCTCATTCCTTTTGTCCGTGTTGCGAGAGGTTCTGCTAAAGCTGCAAGCCATCGAGGATCAGTCCACTTGATCCCTGAAAATTAACATCTGCATGGTGCAGTTCAATGTTGCACGCGTGAGTGTATGAGTTTAGATACCTCTAGTGTGATCTGAAGTCGTCATAAGCGAGGCTCTGGCCGCACTGGCAATTAACTCCCAAGAGAAGCACTGCACCCCACAACCAAGCAATAGAGGAGTTTCCAAGTCTCGGTGATGCTTCGATGCAATGCCTATATGCCTCTAGAAATGTAGCATGACAGCGAGGATCTTTCACGAATCATCGCCCCAGCACGCTATAGTTGTCGCTCTATGTTACTCAGGAGCGTTGCCGCCGCAGCCCAGTCGGCGCGGTCAGTGCGGGATGGCCAAGCCCAGGACCCGTGATCGGAAGCCTCTGCTTGCACGTGGGTAGTTCTCTAAATTGGGGTCCCTATGAGGTCCCCAATTATAGTACGGCACGCTTATAAAATGGAACCCAAGATGGACCCTAATTTAGAGAACTTCCCACGTCCGTGATTTGATTTGAGGTTTGGGGTTGCAGGTTTTGGGGCGGTTTACAGATAGCCTAGCTCGGGCTTCGACGAGGTCAAATCTTTGCGCTTCGGGCCCCAAACTCTGTTGCACCCTAAATCCTACTACATATGGCTCTCTTAAGGGACCTTGTTGAGAGGGTCTGTCCCCCCAATCCTAACGCCTGGATACTGTTGATGATCTAAATCCTGCACCTTCAGGACACTAAACTCTGGGAACTATAGTATATTCCTCATTATGGCTAATGCAGGTTTTATATCATCAACCCTCAACCCTACACCCTAAATCCTATAACCCCAAGCCCCAAACCAGGATTTATATCATCAACCCTAAACCCTAAACCCTAAACCCTAAACCCTAAACCCTAAACCCTAAACCCTAACACGGCGGCTGAGGAGCTTTGGCAGAAGAGCCGCCTCAGGTTGCAGCTTATGCGCTGGAAGCAAAGCATCGGGCTGTCGGCTTCTTCTGCCCAGGGCAGCTCGGACTTATCATATAAGAACTAGTAATCATAGCTATAAGCTGTTCGTATGATTATAGTAGGAATAAATACTCTTATCTTTAGAGGCTTGAGTTTAGGATTCAGGGTTTATAAGGCTCAGTGTCGTGAACTTTGGTACGTTCGTTCGTGCGTCGAGGGTGGGTGGATGGGTGTGTAGCAATGTAGCCGAATAATCACCTCAGACTGTCGCCGCAGCTTCGAGCATTTTCCGTACAGTTGTCCTCATCGTTGGTCTTGGAGCTTATGTGGCGTAGCTGATGATTACGCTTGCAAACACGATCTCCCGGAGTGCAGTAAACTAGCACTCCCTCCCCACTGCTCTGGCCCTTAACTCACTGTCCAACGTGCCTTAACCCTTAATCCTGGGCCCACTAGACCCTATGCGGCTTGTATGCCGCACCTCCAAGCGAAGGCAATGACCCCGGAAAGGAAGCTGCACCGAGGAAGCCTGCAAGGCCCTCGCTTGCAAAGGTTTCTGATGAGGTTGTAGAGCTGCAGAAGGTCAGGGAACACCGAGGGAAGGTGTGTAAACATGTGCTCACAACAACGACGTAGTCTGGAGGAAGATTCGTTTAGAACCGCCGGAAATCCTGAAACATTAAACCCTCGCCCTGAACTCCCAACTCCGAGCCGCCTTTGGGCCCCAGCCTAAGCCCGAATCCTTCAAAGAGCGACACGAAGGGCTCTATGCGGGCTCTTTGAGGGTCTTATGAAGGTTTTTTTTTTCGGGTTTAGGGCTCAGGGTTTAGGGTGGGTTCTACAAGGCTTTGTAAGGGTTCTTGAAGAGTTCATTAAAGCCGGCTAGAAGCTAGAAGTGGGTACCCCACACCCAAGAGCTCACAAAGGGCCATAAGCCTTTACCTTAACTTGAAGCCCGGTTCCCTAGACCCATAAAGCCCCAACCCCGTAGCCCTAAATCCAACCGGCCCTGATAGGCCCGTTGACACTGGCGCCCTGGTTTTACTGGGCGCCGGAGTTGGAAGCGCTGCCCAGGGCTGCTTCGCCCGGATAACGGCAATGTGAATAGTTTTTATATAGGTAGTGACAGGTAGTGGTGGTAGTAGTAGTAGTAGTAGTAGTAGTAGTAGTAGCAGTAGTAACTATAAGACTCAGAGAGCAATAAGAAGAATAGTAATGGTGTGAATTCTGTTGATGACTACCGCAACTATGAACGGCGCACCGTTTAGTAGGGGTGCGACTTTGTGGGTTTAAGTACTGCTGCTAGAGCTAGGTGTCGCGGTAGTATCACTAGCATTCCTACTACTGCTATTCTTCTTGGGCTTCCTTCTATGACGACTAGTGGTCTTGGTGCTTTTTTGACTTTGGCTTGCCCTATGAGCATCTTCGCACTCTCGACCCCCAGCAACCTCAACCGCCTGTCCAGCGCATGCCAGCCCTATCATCAACACCATGGCTACAGCCCTTCCTGCTCGCGTTCTCCCGGTGTCTTCGACCCGCAAGCCCGACCAAACCCTAAACCCCAAAACGCTCCAGAACCCTAAGACCCTAAACCCTAAACCCTAAAGCCCTAAAGCCCTATACCCTCCAGAACCCTAAGACCCTAAACCCTAAACCCTAAGACCCTAAAGCCCTATACCCTCCAGAACCCTAAGACCCTAAACCCTAAACCCTAAAGCCCTATACACTCCAGAACCCCAAGACCCTCTCAGGATTCTTGGGCCCGGCGCTCTTCCTCTCTTCCTGGGCCACCTTCCGGGTGGCTCGGCGTGTCTGTGGCTGCAGCCTAGCAGGTTCAGGGGTTGGGCGTTTTGAATGTAGGGCTTCAGGGTTTCGGGCTTGGGTGCAGGGTTTTGGGGTTTAGGACTTTTGAGGGTTTTGGGTGTAGGGTTTAGGGTCTGGGGGGAATCGTGTTCCGGCAACAATCAGAGTCGGTTTAGGGCTTAGGGTTCGGTATGGCAATTTTTCCTCATCATGCCAACATACGGCTGGTTCGTGGAACATACTGACGGCACGACTGTTCGTGTCTGGATGCCCGAGCTGGGGTGTAGTTCGATGGTTTATGGCGGTTTGACAGACGTGCCTAAACCCTAAACCCTAAACCCTAAACCCTAAACCCTAAACCCTAAACTCTCAACCCTAAACCCTCCTGAGATTTGCAGATCCGGGATGAGGATTGGGAAGACATTTCCTGCCTCTGCAGCGTTAATTGCTTTGTCATGCAAGGCTTCCATTCTCCCGACCATGGCTGGGTTTAGGGTTTAGGGTTTAGGGTTTAGGGTTTCATTCGGGTCTTGGGGTTTGGGTGCTGGTGGCTTCGGATTGCGGAGTGCCTGGGACCCAAGAACCCACTTGGAGGCCCCTTTGACTTAGTAAGTAGGGTTAGTAAGGTGGGTTATGGGGATTATAATAGGGCTCCTGGGGGATACTAAGTAGACTTACTAAGTCAAAAGGGCCTCCAAGCAGGCTTCGTCGTCCAATGCATCGACGCCGAGGACGCCAATCGGCTTTTCAGGCACTGCAAGTTGGGGGTGTTGGAGGGGACCGGAATGGTTTGTGACTATCCCAATATAGGCCCAAATAGGCTTGTTATATTTGCTGTACCCCAAAACTCTAGTCTAATCATTGAGGGCCCCTGGATTGGGGCTTTACTGGCATCGCATTCGCGCCCGCAGTCCACTGACGGTGTTGTCAAGCCATGCCCAGAGAAAAAAGCTCGGTGTTTCAGCCCTAAGCCCTACCCATAGGCCCCATAGTAGTTCCTTTTGGGGGGACTTTATAGAATTCTATTTTTGAACCCCAGAAAGGAACAGGTTTAGGGCCTATGACCAAATTCCGGCTTTCAGCGTTGTGGGACCTGGAGGGAATGCATCCTTGAAGCTGAATTCTGGCGTGTTGCGGCCAGACTCCCACCGAGGACGCAGCAAGAGTTATTAATCAAGTCAGGTCGCTATCCGAACGAAATCCAAATCCCGATCTTACTGTCAGGCCTTCGATGCAAAATTCAAGACTTCTAGCATCTTGTCAGAAGAGCATCGCCGAGAGGCACATCTGGAGGTGCAGGCTATGTCGGGCGGCATAGGGTTTTCGAACAGTGTGGGCCTGGTATGAAGGCTGGAGGCGGGGTTTGGCCGAAGCCTAGCCCGGCCCTAAAATCCTGAATCTCTACACTCCAGAACCCTATTTTGATCATTAAGGCCCCTATATTAAACCCGAAACCCTAAACCCTAAACCCTAGACCCTAAAGCCCTAAAGCCCTGAAGCCCTAAACCCCTAAAGCCTCATACTGCAGAGCCCTGAAGCCCCAAAGAGCCCGAGAAGCTGTCAGGTATGCGCCAGCCAGCCTCCAGCGAAGGAAGGCAGAGCTTTTTGCGGCTCGCCTTTTTTTGTTGGAAGGGCCTTAGCAATTAGAATAGGGTTTTGCGGGGTTCCTTTAAAGGGTTCCTTAAAGGGTTCTATAAGGGCTACCATAAGGGTTTAGGGTGTATGGGGCCTTAAGAATCAGAATGGGGCTTCGGGGGTTCCTTAGCATAATTATCGTATCCCCCCAAAACCCTTCATTCTAAGGATGCTATATTACGGCCGCAGGGTTCGAGGGCCGCCAAAGGTCCTTTCTTAAGACAGTCCTTGCAGCTTCGGGTATTGACCAAGGCTTACCGCGGCCCCTGTCTTGCACCCTTACTGGGGTTTAGGGTTTAGGGATATATAGATGGGAGTTCCGAAAATAAGGGGTACCTTATTTTGGAGTTCTGATACTAAGGATCCGACTATTTAGGGTATTATATTAGGGCCCCCTTTTTTCGGAACCCCCCCAAAATAGCAGCCTCTGCCTTTTTGGTGACCCTACAGAAAAGGAGCCCTGATTTCATCATTCAGGCCCCCTTTTCGTTTAAGTTCGTGCAGCAAGCTTTCCCTCCATACCGTGAACCCTAAACCCTAAACCCTAAACCCTAAACCCTAAACCCTAAACCCTAAACCTTACCCCTAAACCCTAAACCGCCTCCATGGCACCTTCAACCCGAGGCGCAGCTTCATCATGAGCTCTTTGTCATGCGGCGAATTCGCGCGGGCGATCTGCGCTACATCGGACGGCCGGGGGACAAGAGCTGGCAGGCTCGCTGTAACAGAGGGGTTTAGGGTTTAGGGTT